AGTATTTACAGCCTGTCCGTTTAATTGATTTTCAAACAGAGTGCAGGGCAAACAAAGGTTCTTAAAATAGATAAAATGTGAAAATCAAATTAGTTTTTTCTTTCACTTTTGCAAAAGAGACAAAAGCTTGGATTTTTAATCACAGATATAAAACAATAACTAAACTCTTTCACATGGTTTAGTGAATAAGAGTAGCAGCCCTGTAATCCTAAAGTTGTAGGGTTGATGCCTGATTCCTTTTTACACATGCCAACCTGCCCTTGGGTGGGTCACTTAACCCAGGGGCGTCTCTAGGTTTAAGAGACAAGGGTGGCTCAGCCCCTAGAAGATATAGCGCGCGCAAAGCGCGGGCCAAATTTTTTCAGTGCACCTGCTAAGGTTTGTGTAAGACAAGGGTGTAACTTTTTGTTGAAAGTTGGTGGGGACAGCTCATAAGGAAAGGGAGCTACCTGCGCGACGCCTTTTTTTTTTTGTTGGAAAGGATAAAGCCAAAAAAATGCGAATAACATTTATCAATTTAATGCTTACAGTTGAAAACATAACTGTTACAATATTCACTTATATATTTTGTGCAAAAAATATCACATAAATCTAAACAGACAGTACAAATCAAAGAAATCAAATAAATATATCAATTTTGTAGAACATTTATTGACAGTCAATTTTGGGTCACTTTTTAAAATTAATTTACTTTTAAACCAGGACTCGGACAAGATCTTATGGGGCCTTAAGCAGAATATGATTAAGCAACTCCGTCTTTCTGTCAAGAACATCCACCAGCAGGGTATCCAGGGGGGGATTTACCATTAGGCAATACTAGGCAGTTGCCCAGGGCCCCAAGTTCTGGGGGCCCCATAAAACTCTGTTTCCATGTATGGTTAATACAACTAATCCTTATTTGTGCACATTAATTATGTTTTTGATAAAAATCCTTTGGCTAAAATGCCATCAGAACGCTGATAAATAGAGAGGAAAAAGGGACAAGAAGAGAGGGACAAAACCTAGAACAAATAATGGATGTCTATTCTATTAACATTTCTCTATCTGTAGAATGGGTCTGTTTTATGGGTTTACTTCTCAGGGGGCCCCCTGCCTGTCTTTGCCTAGGGCCCCAAATTTCCTAAATCCGCCCCTGAGGGTATCAATACTGATTTGATAGAATCTGGGAGAGCGGACTATGTTCAACCATCCATTTTCTTTAACCTTATCCCTCAGTGGGATCAGGAGGTGCTGGTGCATATCTCCAGCCACGTTCTGGGTGAGAGGTGGGATCACCCTGGACAGGTCACCAGTCTGTCGCAGTATGTTCAACCAGCTTAAAAGTAATCGGTAATCAGATTTATTATTTGCACTTTTACTAAGTGAACTTTCTGACTCCCTTAAATCTGAAATTCCAATGCCAAAATTGTTTAAATCTTTTATCTTTGGACCCCCTGCAGAGTGACGTCACACCTCCCTGCTAGATTGCAAAAAGCAGCTTGCTCATGAGTTGTCATCATAACACGCTAAATCTTAAATGTACGTGTACATATAAAAGAAAAAGGGGCGCAGTGCTTGCAACTGAATGGCAACACTATCAAAGTCAGGAAAAAGTTTTAAGTGAAGCCGGGATTAAAACAGTAGCTACAAGAAGCTTCAAATAAAAGATGTTCTTTATGTTCAACCTAAACACCAACTCCGATAGACCATCAGTAGAGCAGGTGTTTAAATTAATCAATCACTGCTGCGAAAGCTTATAGCAGTGAAAGCTAATATACCACAGCCATCACTTAATAAACGCAAAATAATCAACCCTCTAAAAACGGAAAACTGTAATGGACTGAAAGTCCTGTTTTTTATGTGGGAAATTATTTGCGTGTGTTTTAGTATAATTCTGATATATTGGCGCTGTTGTCTGTTTCTATGGCAACGATACTGAATGTAGTGTAGCTTAGAGACCTGCATGGGACGAGTTTTACCAACCCGCACCCTCCCGAACCCGTCAGGATGACTACCGAACCCGACCCGTCACCCGCGGATATCTTCAATTCAAATGTTATGGGGAGAGGACGGAGGGGGGTGATGGGGAGAAAGCGAGAGGCAACAGATTCTTATTTCTGAGTTTTTTTGTCGGGGTTTGTGGACGGTGAGCAGCGGGGAGAACTTTTTTTTATTTTCTTTCTGAGGAGCGGCATGAATGGGGTTTTAATCAGATATACACAGCACCGAAAGCAAAATACGTGTACAAAATATTGGTGGGGACATGTCCACACCAGTCCTTAAGGAAGTTACGCCTATGATTGTTCAGATTAACTTGTCTTCTTTATGGCTTTTATTCGGTGCTTTACTGCATTTGTTTTGTACGGAGCCCCCTAGGGGACATGGGGAATTTTTTTTCTTTTGCGTTCCCTCGCAATACTTTTGCGTTACCTCGCAATACTTTTGCGTTCCCTCGCAAAAACTTTTGCGTTCCCTCGCAAAACCTTTTGCGTTACCTCGCAATAGGGCTTGGTCGTCGTGACCATGTTGACGGCGCACTTTACGGCTTCCTTAGACTATTGCCTGTGTTCTCCCTCTCAGCCGTGTTTTATTTCGTTTAATTTCACCGTAACTTGATTTCAACCATGGTAAACCGTTGCTGTATTGTGGGCTGTAACAGCGCATCACATGATCGCCGAGGGAAAAACCTACAAAATGGGATAACTTTCCACCGCTGTCCTGCCTGGAGGCGCAAACACGGAGACCAAGTTTCACAGATAACAAAGAGTCGTCGGCTAGCTTGGATCGCGGCTGTAAGACGAGAGAACAGAACTTTCCACAGTATCCTGATGTCAATGCGAGTGTGTTCCCTGCATTTTCATTCTGGTAAGTTAAAGATGCATGGTTTTATTTTATAGCCTACAGTGTTTCCTTCCTTCATCCGTGGCACCACATACAAGCATGAACGCGCGCCCAGAGACTGTTGATATAGCATTTTCATCCTCGTTGGTTGATATAGCATTTTATCCTCTTTGGTAGAACACACTGCCAGTTCCTACAAGGACAGGGACATCCCTCTCCATTTTCAAAAAAAACCCTGAGGTTGACAGCTGTCATAGCACCACTTATAAATTTTGCTGATCCTAGCGCTTACCAGCCGTCTTGTAATGTAATGTAATCATATAATACAATTTAATAATGTGTATATTGAGGATCATTGATAACATTATGGTTCTATATGTGTTCAACACTGCTGCTGTGGATAATAATTTTAAATTGTGTCACCAGGAAAACCAGCAAATGAAATGTACACCTCGCATCCGGATTGGGCACCATCACTACACTCGGGCCACACTGAGATAAAGGCCACACAGACTGCACGCTATGAGAGACAGGAAAAGAGAAAACGGCAAAGGACTGACAGTACACCTGCGAGGATGAGACAGCTATTGATGACCTTGTTCCACCCGGTAAGCCTTACAGAGCCAGAAGATTCAACACCGTATGTTGCTTTTGTGGCTTTTTCAGCTGCATGATGCACATTTAGCTAAAAGATGTCCTTATTTTATCCATAGTGGAGACACCAGCACCAGCTGAGGATGGAGCTGAGCAGACACCGCCGGCGTGCTGAAATCAACCGGCTGCTGGAGGAGAACAGGACCCTGAAACGTGAGCTTGGCCAGAGAAAAATGGATGAAGATTTCCTGAAGGAAGACACCGTCAAAGTGAAATACTACACTGGACTTCCACACCTTAAAGTCAACCACTTTATTCTGGTGTTTATGAATTACTGTATTAAAGAAAAGATTGATGCTCAATATGGAATTGACAATTTCTTTGTATCAACAATACACTCTAAGCAAACATTTAACAAGTGGGTTGTTTTTTAGCCATAGGTGTGTTTTGCATCCATACCCAAAAGCAAGAGGTCTCAAACGATCAGATCCTTTTCAGTGTTTATTTGCAAGTAGTGAAACTTGAGAACACAGTGCAGCGCAGAACAGAGCAGTGCAGTTTGAATGCTTGTAGGTAAATGGTTACAAATAAAAAATGAACGCGATGAAAATGCAGTGCAATTACTTACAATAACATAGTATGTATTTATACAAAATGTTCAATCCTATTAATAAGTCGGTCTTAATGAAACATCAATGGAGAAATGGAAAGTGGAGATATTGCAAATTATTATTATACAAATTGTAGTTATAGTAAACATTAACAGTTAAACACTGTTAGTGCAAATTCTTATATAAGTATTTATAATAATATGCATTACTTAAATTGTATAAATAAAGGCTGCGATGCAATATGTCATGATATACAATAATATAATCTATAATTGTATAATATAACAACGTGCAATAATATGCAAATATAACAATACAATGTAATAATACAAAATACTATGCTTTTTATAAAAAATGTCTATGTATAAAAAAAATTCCAAAGTAATAAAAAATACGTATTTATGAAACATCAATTACAAACATAAAAATTGGAGGTAGATCAAATTAAGTAATAACAGATATCAATAACATTTGAAGTAGTGCAAATTATTACCGGTACTATAGTACACATTAAAAAACAATGTTAGTGCAATGTCTTATATAATTACTTTTAACAATATGCATTTCTTAAATTGTATAAATAAAGGCTGCGATGCAATATGTCATGATATACAATAATATAATCTATAATTGTATTGTAATATAACGACGTGCAATAATATGCAGCTGCAATGTCTTTCACTGTCTCACAGTGCTGGAGAAGGACAGCTGGTGGAGCATTTTCAAACTTTGGGTCGCGCAGACGGTCTTGCAGGGGTTTTGGGATCACAGCTGGCTGGACAGGAGCAGCATAGTTGTGAAAGTAGGGCTTCACTGTGGACATACAAACTGACCTATGGTTCTGAAGAACAGGGAACATTGACGATAAGTCGTCCAATGTGGCTTGGGCAGTGCGTCTGCTGGCCCGTGTCCGTAGGCCAGGCATGGGAATGTTGTCACCGATGACTCTGTCCAGAGCAATCCTCTGCACTTTGGATGAAGTGAAGTCCATCTTGTGGGCGACTTCACCGCTGACTTTGTTGATACCTGCTGGTATTTTCCAATAAGCTGGCACATCTGTCACAGTCTTTTTCCCACGGATGCGGACTGCTGCCTCAATCTTAAACAGCAGAGCCCCAACATGTGTACATGCCTCTGCAATTCCAGCCATGCATGTACAGTGTGCACAGCAAACCTGCCCATCGTCAGCAATGATGACCCATGGCTTCAGGGGAGTCTCATTAATGCGCTGAGAGTGCAAGACCTGAGGAGAAAAAAAATAGACATAAATTATGCAGGTAAGGACACCATTATATTTCATTCTATGCTGGAAAGCAAACGTTAACCTCAACCCCTCATGCATGTGTATACATATCATATAAATCACAGTTATACAACAGTAAAGTATAACAACCACGCTGTTATATTGTTATATCACTTAAAAGAAAAAGAAATGAAATGAGCACAGGACATTTAAACCTGCATAATACCTCTGACTGAATGATTTAAGCTCAAAGTTACCCGTTACAGTGTTTTATGAGGTCAGATTTAATAACCCGCAGTCAATACTGCACTCATTTTTCTAAATAGTTCACTTTGAAAGACTCTGATTCAAACTAGGAGTTAACTTGAATGGCCACAGCACTGCACTATTGTTTATTTTTTTATATTTTGCGGATCTTTGACTATTTAATCTATTCCTTAAAATTTTATTAATAACAATGTTCAATAAATGATTTTCAACAAAATACAGATGTAACACCTATCCAGTTTCTGAATGATGGTAAAAAAATCTTGTTTCTACCAGCAGCTGGGGGAGACTAGATTAGAAGATGGTTCAGAAAACCTGTTAGGACACATTTTTTTTCTAACACTAAGTATCAAACAAATGCTGATTTCTATTTCAGCAAATTATTCTTAAATTTTTTTTTTATATTTTGAATAATGTTTTGATGAAGATTTGAGATTCCTTTCACTGAATGAATGGTCACAAAGCTAGTGTTAAGCTTGAAGTCTCTGGCCAAGCTCACGTTTCAGGGTCCTGTTCTCCTCCAGCAGCCGGTTGATTTCAGCACGCCGGCGCTGACAGAAGTCACATTCTGTCAGCGGTGTCTGCTCAGCTCCATCCTCAGCTGGTGCTGGTGTCTCCACTATGGATAAAATAAGGACATCTTTTAGCTAAATGTGCATCATGCAGCTGAAAAAGCCACAAAAGCAACATACGGTGTTGAATCTGCTGGCTCTGTAAGGCTTACCGGGCGGAACAAGGTCATCAATAGCTGTCTCATCCTCGCAGGTGTACTGTCAGTCCTTTGCCGTTTTCTCTTTTCCTGTCTCTCATAGCGTGCAGTCTGTGTGGCCTTTATCTCAGTGTGGCCCAAGTGTAGTGATGGTGCCCAATCCGGATGCGAGGTGTACATTTCATTTGCTGGTTTTCCTGGTGACACAATTTAAAATTATTATCCACAGCAGCAGTGTTGAACACATATAGAACCATAATGTTATCAATGATCCTCAATATACACATTATTAAATTGTATTATATGATTACATTACATTACAAGACGGCTGGTAAGCGCTAGGATCAGCAAAATTTATAAGTGGTGCTATGACAGCTGTCAACCTCAGGGTTTTTTTTGAAAATGGAGAGGGATGTCCCTGTCCTTGTAGGAACTGGCAGTGTGTTCTACCAAAGAGGATAAAATGCTATATCAACCAACGAGGATGAAAATGCTATATCAACAGTCTCTGGGCGCGCGTTCATGCTTGTATGTGGTGCCACGGATGAAGGAAGGAAACACTGTAGGCTATAAAATAAAACCGTGCATCTTTAACTTACCAGAATGAAAATGCAGGGAACACACTCGCATTGACATCAGGATACTGTGGAAAGTTCTGTTCTGTCGTCTTACAGCCGCGATCCAAGCTAGCCGACGACTCTTTGTTATCTGTGAAACTTGGTCTCCGTGTTTGCGCCTCCAGGCAGGACAGCGGTGGAAAGTTATCCCATTTTGTAGGTTTTTCCCTCGGCGATCATGTGATGCGCTGTTACAGCCCACAATACAGCAACGGTTTACCATGGTTGAAATCAAGTTACGGTGAAATTAAACGAAATAAAACACGACTGAGAGGGAGAACACAGGCAATAGTCTAAGGAAGCCGTAAAGTGCGCCGTCAACATGGTCACGACGACCAAGCCCTATTGCGAGGTAACGCAAAAGGTTTTGCGAGGGAACGCAAAAGTTTTTGCGAGGGAACGCAAAAGTATTGCGAGGTAACGCAAAAGGTTTTGCGAGGGAACGCAAAAGTATTGCGAGGTAACGCAAAAGTATTGCGAGGGAACGCAAAAGTATTGCGAGGGAACGCAAAAGTATTGCGAGGGAACGCAAAAGAAAAAAAAATCCCCATGTCCCCTAGGGGGCTCCGTAGTTTTGGGAAAATATGAGGAAAAAATAAATACAGAAAAAAAAAAATTTTTTTTTAAATCGCAAAATAATTATAGGGTGGCTAATGCCAAAGAAAGGGTGACTGAAGCCACCCTTAAATAGGTCTAACGACGCTTATGACTTAACCCCTACTATTTTTATTTCCATAAATTTCTGTTAACATGTTTATCATCATAAATCTGTATGCCTGTGATTTGTATGAAGGAACATCATTATCTAGTACCTGAAACCCTTTATTCAAAAGGTTGTCTCCTGTTGCTTTTTTGCTAAGTATTTATATAAAACCCTAATTGAGAAAAAGAAGGATATTTAAAAGGCAGCCTAAGGGAGAAAAGAACACCCTCAGAAGAAAAATTAATAATATATAAAACAACATTTGCAAGTTATAAGAGACTCTGCCATGCTTCCGGCCCCGCGGCCGACTCCAGAACGTCTGCCATGCCTCCGGCCCTGCGGCCAGCCTCCTAAGACTCTGCCTCGTCTCCGGCCCCGCGGCCGGCCTCCAGAGCGTCTGCTTCGCCTCCGGCGAGTCTGAGTCTCTGCCTCTGCCCATGCCTGGAATCTGCCTGCCAGCCCTCAGTCTCAGCCTCAGACCTCAGTCCTCTGCCTGTCGACCAGCCTCTGGACTCACAAGGTTCCCTTCCCCCCTGCAGATCCGAATCCCTTCTCTCAGCCTGAAACCTGCCTGCCTGCACTCAGTCTCAGTCTATGCCTCTGCCCTCAGCCCTCAGCCCTCTGCCTGCCGATAAGCCTCTGGACTCACAGGGTTCCCCCACCTGCTGATCAGTTCCACCTCTAGCAGTGGAGATCCAGCCGTGACCAGTCTGACCACCCCAGTTCCTATTCACATTTTATTTACACTGTTTGTCAATAAACCTTTGAACTTTCTCCTAACCTCCGTGTGTTTCTGCATATGGGTTAGACATAAAAATCCCATCATGACACATCTATTATATCTAAGAAAACCCAGGTGATTGCATCGGGCAGACTTAACAGGATTTGTTCCTTCTGGATGATCATGTGCTGTAGAAACAGTAGACTTTTGCTTGCATGTGTAATTGACTTTGCAGCAATCTCACTCTGAGCATGGATGCAGTGACAGTAAAGAGAAAAAAACTACCTTTTAATAAGAAGAAACTACCACCAGAAACTGGCTCGATTTGGGCGGCCGCCTGATTTGGGAAAGACAGAAGCAGACATACAAGAGGAACATAGAAGAACTAATATATAAATGCTTTCTATATTAGAAAGGGTCATGGTAAACTAGCTTCCTAGGTGGAAATAATCATTTAAGCCGGCATGCTATAAGCTGTTTTTATGTCAAAAAAGATTAATTGAAGTGTAAACAGTAGTCACAGTAAAAACTTAGCTCATAGCTATGTCTAGGGAAGAAATATCATCATATAATTGGTGTCACAGCTAAAAAGAGCACCAGAAAAAATAAGCTACTATGACAAGAGAGGGCATAAAGTCAGAAGTTGAACTAACAAATACTGGAAATTGAATAATAGAACTAGAATGAAGCAGAATTATGAAAAGTGGTCTCTACATACTCCAGCAGTGTAAGCCTATAGCAGCCTAACTATAGAGATAACTCAGGATAACGTGAGCCATTCTTAATTATAAGATTTTATAAACAGTGAAAGTTTTAATCCCAGTCTTAAAAGTAGGAAGAGTGCCTGCCTCATAGACTGAAACTGTTAGTTGGTTCCGCTGGAGAGGAGCCTTATAACTAAAGATCTGCTTCCAATTCTTCTTTAGGAATTCTAGGAACCACTAGTAAATCTGCAGATTGAGAGCAAAGTGTTTCTGTTAGGATTCGGAACATAAGGAACAATCAGACTTAAGATGTCCAGACAACTCATGGTTTCCGTATCAACAAATTCTCCCACCTGAGCTGTTTAACACTGTAGAGCTGCCATGATTCTCTTGGCTGCTTCACTCTTTGATGGCCATCTCTTAGTAAGTTTGTAACTGAGCCATATTCTGTGTCTATTCAAAGCTTTGGACATTTTCTAGAACTCAACTGTGCTCTAAATTTCTTCACAACCTTCTCCCCACCCTGTCTGCTATGTTCCTTGATCGTCAGTATACCTCTCTTACAAAAACTCTTAGGTCTTAACAGAATTGATCAACTTTTAGTATGTTGGAGTACCATATGCCCCCATAATTAAGTAAAGCTGTCCAAACCAATCTGATAAGATATCTCCCATCCCCTATTTACTCACACATTACATGTAACCACATTTTTTAGACAGCTAATTTTACTTTAACAAGCCACACTCAGACCTGATTATTATAGAATCATGATACTAGTTAAAAATTACCTGTTTTCTTCCACATGGAGAAATCTGAAATATAAAAAAAAAATAACCATGCCAATAAAAAAAGAGAGGAAAAATAAAGTAATGGATATATATCAGTTTAGATAGTTTTACCAACAAATATCTAATGATTTGGGAGCCTGACACCACAGTGAGTACTACTATCCACATGGATAAAAGTTCAAACAACCATGATTCTTCTCAGGAGTGACCAGTCTGCAAGGATTACCCAAAGAACTCACTAGTGCATTGCTCTAGGAGGTTAAAGAAAAGCCTATAAAAACATCCAAAGCAGAGTAGGCTTAATTTGAATCAGATAAGGTCAGAGTTCAACATTTGGAAACAGGAAGCATGTTGCAATAATAAAAATGGTGTCCATGGGCGAGTTCAAAGGGCAAAAACCACAGAAAACAAAAATAAAACCACCGATAGGCCCATTGCACGTTTGCCAAATATAAATTCATTTCCAAGGTCTTTACGATAATATCCTGTGGAGTAGCTTTACAAATTAAAAATGTTTTGAAGATGTGTGTCTCATTACATCACCTTGCATTAAAATCCCACTGCATTTCTTAAAAAAAAAAAGGAACATACCCAAAGACAAACATAGCAATGGCAGATCGACGGTCTGGAATAACCCATGGATCACATGGATGTGGATGATTTAGCAGAACTCGTGCTTCATTAATGTGTGGCTATACCATGATTGGCAAACCAAATAAACCTTTGGCGAGTTATCCACAAAAGCCTAGGTTGGCTTGCTTTTTCTTTTGATAAACATCACACCAAAAACATTTTGTCTCCCTACCTCCTGAATGATATGATAGCTGAAGGTCCCATGGTGTTTATATTTTCATATAAATTACTGAACAGATAAATGATGCACCTAGAGGCAGCTAAAAATTGTACCCATTGATGGACCAGACATTTTATTTCCTGTCATGAATTGTCTTGTTACACAACAAGTTGTCCCTTTGATCCATGGTTTCATAGAATATTCTGAAGCGTACTTTCTTGTAGCTCAAAGTTTGTAAGCTACATATAAAGCCATGATGACATCATCTGAGATTTGGATTGTTTCTAAAGGCTTTTTAATCATAGTGTATGTAAACTTCAGAATCTAAATTGAACTATATTATAAATATATTTCTGAAATGTCTTCCAGATTGCTATTGGATTTAGCAAAAAAAAAAAAAACTTTTGATAATCCTGTTTCCTAACAGGGAAAGTCTGATTTAATCCCAGAAAGTAAGGGGGAAAAAAGGTGATCTGTCATTTTACAAAGTATGATGGACTTCTTGGTCTTTATTTACAGACGTTAGCCCACTGATTGAAACAATGTGCAGACATTTTTTATTTTACTTGTCCTCTGTTTATGCTGCACAGGCTGTGGGGGAGTAATCAAATAGCAATCATTTTAAACCAAACAATATATCCTCCTCTACAGTATAGGTCATACCTACAGAACATATATGTGTTTACTTTTTTAAGTGACAAGTACTGTTATTACTTTCTTTACTAAGAATTACACGGCTTCAATGAAGTTTTTATTGTATTTTAATTGATACATTACAATGAGTACATTTCACTTTCAGGTAATTGTTCCTTTCAGCTCTATAACCGAACAATCCTTTAATGGAAAAGACAGACCTCATCTGTGTTTGGTTGGTTTGTATGCATGCAAACATTAATATATCATCAACACATAAACAGATAATATCAGATGCAAAGAAGAACCATCTATTCTCAAGAAACAATTCAAAGCTGCAAAGTCTTCCATCAGGCAGCGTACTATCAGGTAACTATTTTATGCACGAAGAAGGCCTTTACAATGAAAGATAAAAGTCTTTAATGTTTTTATTAAGGATTGAAAATAAAAATAAAAACAAAGAAAATGTTTTACAGATGTTTAGCATCACTTATTTAGTGGCATTAAGTTAGATTCATGTAAAACATTCTTTCATCTGTCTGTGTGGCTCATTGAAATATTGATGACTTTGTTTTTGTCTCTGAAACAAGTCTGAGGTGGTGGGTCAATCTTTAATCTCAATAGTTAGTCAGAAATAAGAATTGAGAACTTTTCCACTTTTCATAATAAAAGTTAGGATTTTATTGCATGAAATACATTCTTTTAGGTAAAGTTGAAAAAGTTGATTATTTTAGTTGGATTTAAAAGCATGACCAGCAAATACAGTAAAAGGATTTCCGTTTAGAGTTACATAGACAGCCGTGTCAGAAAAAAAATAAAACAGCCATAGAACAAGGAAACATTGTGGTTTTGAGCTGTGATTCATTTATATCACTTGATCTTGTTGTTTTATCTATTTATAATTTTTATTTTTTATTATATAAAGAGGGCAATAGCTAAAATGGTAGAAATAAGCCAGGAATGGGCCAGCCCATACCATTTTTTATTCTAGTTTAATGTGTAGAGTTTTGATTTTAACCTCACACTCTATTTAATACTTGTTCTTATAATAATTACATGAAGAGGGTTTTTTATTAAATAGCCCAGTGTTAAAAATTTGAATTCTTTGACATTTAAGGAGGGTTTCAAATTTATAGCCTTTTTTCACTAATTGTTGTTGTGACCTCTTCATTTTGACAAATCAACTGTGTAAATCCTCATTAAAGCTGGAAAACACACTGAATCACTGTTTTTCTCACAATATCACAAATGTTTGCAGTATCCTAACAACAAAAGGACCACTTGGAGGCAAAGTTACATATTTTTAATTTTCCACTCAATCATGTGCTGTCTTCTTTGCTTGTCTTTTTGAAAGAGAAAGTAAAGCTGAGAGGAAGTGGTGGGAACATGATGGAAAAGAGGGTAGCGAGGAAAATTTGTGTTAATTGCAATCTATGGAGTCATTGTGATATTTAGCTGCAATATCAAAACATCATGTTTTCTCTGTTTTGTTCTCATCGATATCTAAACAAGAATAGCTATGGGCAACCCTAATGCTGGTAGATTTAATTTATTTTCATACAGCAACATTTTCCTAATAGTATACTACGAGTGGATCAGAGACAACGTTTTCAAACTTTAAGTTCTTGTCACTACCCGTTCTGTCCCGGATGCACATTTGCACATGCGCATCCAGATATACATCCGGGTCGTCCTCGACTTTATTTTGTTAAAAATACCTAAATGACGTTTTCCCTCCCCAAAAAATAGTAAACATACTAAAATATACACTATATTGCCAAAAGTATTTGCTCACCCATCCAAATTATTGGAATCAGGTGTTCCAATCACTTCCATGGCCACAGGTGTATAAATTCAAGCACCTAGGCAAGCAGACTGTTTTTACAAACATTTGTGAAAGAATGGGTCGCTCTCAGGAGCTCAGTGAATTCCAGCGTGGAACTGTGATAGGATGCCACCTGTGCAACAAATCCAGTCGTGAAATTTCCTCGCTCCTAAATATTCCACAGTCAACTGTCAGCTGTATTATAAGAAAATGGAAGTGTTTGGGAACGACAGCAACTCAGCCACGAAGTGGTAGGCCACGTAAACTGACGGAGCGGGGTCAGCGGATGCTGACGCGCATAGTGCGAAGAGGTCGCCAACTTTCTGCAGAGTCAATCACTACAGACCTCCAAACTTCATGTGGCCTTCAGATTAGCTCAAGAACAGTGCGCAGAGAGCTTCATGGAATGGGTTTCCATGGTCGAGCAGCTGCATCCAAGCCATACATCACCAAGTGCAATGCAAAGCGTCGGATGCGGTGGTGTAAAGCACGCCGCCACTGGACTCTAGAGCAGTGGAGACGCGTTCTCTGGAGTGACGAATCGCGCTTCTCCATCTGGCAATCTGATGGACGGGTCTGGGTTTGGCGGTTGCCAGGAGAACGGTACTTGTCTGACTGCATTGTGCCAAGTGTAAAGTTTGGTGGAGGGGGGATTATGGTGTGAGGTTGTTTTTCAGGAGCTGGGCTTGGCCCCTTAGTTCCAGTGAAAGGAACTCTGAATGCTTCAGCATACCAAGACATTTTGGACAATTCCATGCTCCCAACTTTGTGGGAACAGTTTGGAGCTGGCCCCTTCCTCTTCCAACATGACTGTGCACCAGTGCACAAAGCAAGGTCCATAAAGACATGGATGACAGAGTCTGGTGTGGATGAACTTGACTGGCCTGCACAGAGTCCTGACCTCAACCCGATAGAACACCTTTGGGATGAATTAGAGCGGAGACTGAGAGCCAGGCCTTCTCGTCCAACATCAGTGTGCGACCTCACAAATGCGCTTCTGGAAGAATGGTCAAAAATTCCCATAAACACACTCCTAAACCTTGTGGACAGCCTTCCCAGAAGAGTTGAAGCTGTTCTAGCTGCAAAGGGTGGACCGACGTCATATTGAACCCTATGGATTAGGAACGGGATGTCACTTAAGCTCATATGTGAGTCAAGGCAGGTGAGCAAATACTTTTGGCAATATAGTGTAATATGTTAAAGGTTAGATCTAGTCTTTTTGAGTTTTATGTTTTCCTCTCATGTTAACATTATGGTGAATAGGGCGTAATCTAAAGAAAGAAACAACTAAAATGCAGATAAACATGGTTTAATCATATTTTGCCGGACTGGTGTGAGCATGTCTGATGTTGACTGCAGAGAAGCAGTTTAACAAAGAAAATGTAGAAAGCATAAACATTGTATCACTAAAGTCATAAAACATTTTTTAACAGATGTGTATTAGTATTCTTTAGTGAGTTAAGGATAGAAATAAATCGTTTTAGTACCATAACTACATTATTTATGAACACCCAGCTGTTTATCTGTTCGCGCAGAATGGATCGTGCCTCCGGGACAGGTCGGGTAGTGACAGTCCTAACGGAAGATAAAAGCCCACTTTCTAATGTCTCCTTCTTTAAGTACAAAAATCTAAACTGTCAAGTAGGAAATGGCAAATGAAAGTGAATTACAATCATTATTTGATGGCCGTGTGTGGCTAGCATCAATGATTTTATTTGTACTCCCACTTTCAGTCCATACTCTAGTTTTGTCCTGCTATACAAAACAAGAACCAAACATTTTTTTTCCAATTCAGTTTCAAATATCTAACCAATAACATTCAAATTAAGCTGTCCACATATATCACCAATAAAAGTTAGCTTAAATCCAGTCAGTTTTGATAGCCTACTTGTTCACTTCTGTTGCCATTGGCATGCTACCAGCTAGCGCTACTAGCTAGACTACTTTAATATTAGAGTTCTTTAAATATTATGATAAAGGGTAGGAAGGAAAAAAAATTGTTTTTTTTGTGGTATATTTGCTACAACGCTAAATTTAAACACTAATTTTGTTAGCTAGAAGTCACCCAATGGTTATTACACAATGCTGCCTTATCTAACCAAAATGATCCTCCAGCTTTAGAACACTAGCCAGTTGAAAAATGTGCCAGAGACGAGGGTAGTGCAAAGGGGAACATTACATGTTTTTGATTTTAGAGAAAAGGACAGCATCAGTTCCTTGGTAACGATGAAAGCTGGATCCATTGAATTGCTTCTCATAAATGTCAATGGTAATCTTGTCACTTTTGTTCGAATGCTTATAAACTGCCAGAAAAAAAAAGAAAAAAAGATCAGAAACTTTCTTTGTTTTATATTTTGGCACAGTCAGAATATAGCACCGCAAAGTTTTGCCAAGTAGTCTGCTGGGGAGAAATTCTGTATGCCAGAGCATGTTCGTACAAACACAAGGGTCGTACTGGCATCTCTTAGCCCCAGCTGGAAAAAGAAGATTATCCTATCAGCAGTGTGCAGAGTGGTTAGAAAGGCAATGCTGCCAATGTTACTGCAACTGATGCTCCTTAGAAAATACGACAGGGTAGCTCATTGCTGGAAGATTTAAATCTGCTCAGGATTCTCTGAGTTACATATTTCCCGCTTAATTTCACTTTTTACTTTGGTGCTGTTGTGTGAAAGCTACGGCTTTTTGTTAGCCGCTTCTTCTCATTTCATAAAAACTGTTGCGTCCAAACCATAAAGTTCTTTTCCTACTCTTTTGTGCTTTTTTCTACATAAAGAATATGTATCATATAATAATAAAAAAAACAATTGCAGAATAAACTGTAGCTATCTTTAAAACTAAGTGTTTCTGGATTGTCCTGATTCTGCGTTTCTACCTAAACTAGTGCTCCAGAAAAAAAAGGAAAAGACAATCCACAGTTCCTGTTTTTTTTTGTTTTTTTTTACAGCTATACTTCAATGGAGTAAATGCTTTTTTGTCACTTTTAAGCAGATTACACAGAAGAGGTTGTAATTCTTACATGAATCACATATACAGCCCCTTTCTGTCGAAGTGTGTTTTGTTTTTCTACCATTTTAAAGCGCACATGTTTAAAGACGGTCTGTCTTAAGCTCACATGGTAGGAACAAAACAAGACAAGTGCTCAAAAGACTCAAATCACTTTGTCTCACATACGAAAACATAGTAGTAAAATAACTCAGTTTAATGGTATCCTTTTTTTGTTGTGCAACTTCCTCAACCCCAGTTTGCCTTTGGTAGAGGAAGGCTAAAGTATGCAGTTCTTTTATTCATATGGTTCTACTAACAGCACCAGAAAATTGAGCTGGTCCAGCAAACCCAAACTGTCCATTTTCCGCCTTGCTTAGTCCTTTAGGGTTGCAGTCATTAACTGGTGGCAGTCCAGATCCCCTCTCAGCTCCAGGGGCCCTGGCAGCCTCATCCCCGTCTTCGGATCCACACACCAGCACTTTCCCCGATGGCCGTCACGTGCGGGATGGCACTGTGGGTGTTAAAAAAAACAAAAACAGGCTTCATATAGAGATATGCAATAATAAAGATTGCACTACTCTGTTACCAGTATAACCTTATTATTATCACACATTAATTAGGAGGAACTCTGGCCAACATAAACAGCTTTGCAACCTTTTTCCAGTTTTTCAATGCTTGGAGGTTAAGGTAAGGTATTTCATGGCAGATTTCAGTCAGTTTAAAAAGTGGACTTGGATTGGGCCATCATATGGTTCTGTAGATATGCAGCTGCTCTTGGAATCAATGTCATTTTTATAAATGTATTTGAGCCAAACTTCCACTGTCAGATGGATGACCACACTTCTTAATACAGTTTCAAGACAAACTGCTACAGACGAACTTCTTACCCACAGCTATTAACATTAACAAAGACTTATTAAAAAAAAAAAATTGATTAAATGCAATGCAACCTTGAATTAAATGCAATTGAGTTTGTGGTCATCTCAAAGAACAAGCAGTTCCTAGGTTCCAGAACTGCAACAACATCAAAAATGAAGCCAAAATGACCACATGCAACTTTGCAAACCCAATTCATGCAGTTGGAAAATATACTTTTCTCATTGTATTTTTCCCATTTCCCCATGATTTTGTTTTGACACCACTTTTAAAAGATTTTTTTTGTTAAGTAAAAAAAAAATAAAAAATACACCTCATATATATACTTAAATACATCTACATATATATACATATATCTATTTCTATACCTATCTATCTATCTATCTATCTATCTATCTATCTATATTTATATATATATATATCTATAGATATATATATATATATATATCTATAGATATATATATATAGATATAGATATATAGATATATATCTATATCTATATATGTCCATCCATACATATATACATATATATATATTATATATACATATATATATATTATATATATATATATATATATATATATATATATATATATATATATATATACATATATATTTTTTTTTTTTTTTGGGGGGGGAGGTTGTTTTTTTTTTTTTTTTCTAATCAAGTACCAACTAATAGATCTAAGAAGGCCATGGAAATCTAACTATAACGGTGCTGTTGTGACCTAAATTTGCTAGTGTGACGCAGACATAGCTCCAGAAGAATGTAGACATTGGTCTGGATGTACTGGATGTGCAAATAAACAGCTTTCTCTTTTCACTCTTTACTTCTCGTGACCAGAGCTCTAGCATGATTTAAAACCAGACTCTTTAATATATTTTGGCACTGAGGCACTCAGATATCAAATGCAATTTTGCAATGCTTTATCTTTAAGAGAGATTACAATTATATGTAAAAGTAATTTGCAACAATCTCGCAATTATTGTGGCACTAAACAAATAGTGAAACTCATTTTGGTGTAGTTAGATTATCGGGATAGAATCCCCACATTCCTCCTGGGAGCTTTCAGCTGTTCCCGTCATACGGTTTGTGTGTGCATTTGAACTATTACACGGGATGATTTTAGGTTTTTAAAAGCCTCCAACACAGCCATTTAAAAATCTCAGAGCAACCCGGGCTTAGAATTGGTCCCAGTTGTCCTTAATGACCTATGCTTTGCTTCCCTTTGGGTATTATCACAGTGCAGTTTTAGTTAAACAGTAAACAGATGCCTGAGAACCTGAGCAGGCTGAGATACTTTAACCTTGTTACACAATCAGCATAACTCAGACGTTTGATGGCTGGTGTTTTTTTAAAGCTTTCTTTTTATCACAGTCTGAGTCTGCAACTTAAAGCAGCTGTATCTCTGTTTTTTTAATGTTCTGTGATTCTCTCATTCTTATCTGCACATTTGCTCAGTCTTGCAAAGCTGGATAACAGAAAGCAAACAATATAGAGACTATATACAAAATTTAATTGCATCCATCACATTAATAAAGGGAGTTTTTCAATAGTAAAGATTATACTGCCTTACACATGACATCTTAATTCCTGAACGTAAATCACTTTCCACACCAGCTTGGAAAAACAAGCCCTTGGCTTTACTGCGGCAGTCTGTTTGGAGACCCTTTGTTGATCTTGAACTGCTAAGATAGTATGTCATCATTTGCGGGCGTGTTTTGTGTTCTGGCTCACAGATCCTGATGTGGTCTTAATAGAGCCATTTAAAGTTTACAGATCGTGATTTTTATTTGATTTGGCAAAACTATAAGGATTCACAGTTCAATGGGAGACATGGCCAGAAGACGCTCAGTGTTTCCAAAAAGTCACAGACCTGCTTTGGGTGGAAATCTCCATTCTTGTCACAGTTGGGGATGGGGATGGTGAAGAGGTCATCATGGGTGCGGCTGTTAGATGCCAATCTGTCCAGTGCTCTTTGCAGTTCAGCACGACACGGCGCCTTTGGGAAAAAATACGTTTTTGATTAGTCTTATATGCAACACCCTCATATCTGTTGTGTATTTAAACTATGCACTAAGATCCCAAAACACTTTTTCTTTTTTTTTTTTCTTTTTTTACAAGGCATTTGTTTTTTTTATGTTGTTTTTTTAATTTTTTTTATTTAAAAACTCATAAATTTGTCTTTCTGGTAAGCAAGGGTAAAGTGCAGCATACAGCAACAGATTGGTGAGTGTTGACAACTCAATCCGACACACAAGTAGAGAAAATTCTAGTACCTCAAGCAAGTGTCCTCTCATAATTGAACAACAAACAACATGATGGAAACTTTTTGAAACCATTTTTTTAATATCCCTTAATTTACATGATACATATAACATGCCCATGTATAAAGTTGGATTCTCAAACTCAATCACAGCTGGTTTCCGTCAACTCTTGGCTGCTTCCTTGGTCAAATGAACTTTAATAAAATGGCAGAACTATCTCCCTATCATGCATTCACGATTGACTTAATCCAGCTAATAGACTAATTATCTCATTTCGGTGTGTTTAAGCAGAGAAGCCTCTAGGAAACTGACTATTTAAAACCCCTTGATTATATTTTTTATAATCAATCCACTTACTTAATCCGATTAAATTCCTGTTTTTTTCTCTCCCATAGGTTTCATGATTAAAAAATAACAAATAACATACATTACCTCAGAAGATTAGCCTTTATTTGAATTACCCCCTCTGGAAGGGGACCTTAATTTAAACTGAAAGGAAATTCCAGCTGTTAAACATGTCTGTAAAACATAGACCAGGGGTCGGTGTTTGTTGGAACTGCAGATGCAGTTGCAGAGAATTGGAAGCAGTCTGTGTGGCTATATTCATTTCAACTATGTTGCTTAAGATTTCATGTGATCCGATGTTTAGTTGGATCGGGTGCCAAATCGGATCATTGTGTCCTCGGCTTTATAGTGGCTTCATTTTGAGGGAGAAAGACAGCCAAAAAAAAACTATATGCATCAAAGTTTTTCTGCTATTGAGTGAAATAAGCATTTGATCCCCTACAGCCCTTCCTGAATTCTGGCTCCTGCAAAATGGCACATGTGCCCATGAACAATATCAATAAATCAAACAATTGTAGATGTCCCTTGCCCAACTTTTCAACTGTATAAAGCACATCTGCTCCATCATTTTCTTCCATCTAAATCTCTACAAAATGACTAAACGTGTTTTTAAATACTACCAGGGACATTATATTGTATTTAAGAGGCACTTTGAAATGAATAAGAAAGATATTTTCCACCTTTGGCTTGGAGTTCTGTAAAAAAAAAAAAAATCCTTCCTCTTGGAACGAGAATATTGTCAAGACATAGTAAGGGATCAACTTAGAACCACACAGGAAGAGTTGAAATGGTCTGAAAGCAAGTGGGACCACAGTTACCAAGAACACAACTGGAAACACACATCACATGACAGACTGAAGTGTTTAAGCACTGTGCTGTCCTAAGTTATGTAATTACCTACTCTGTTTAGGAGAATGTGGAGTGGTCAGATGGTGCCAAACCCCAGACCTTTGGCACACCTTTGACCCTACACATATCCTTTAGAACAAATGAAATGTCCAGAATGATCCAGAGAGAAGCATCTCTTTGGAAAGCAGAATCATTATTCAGGATACAGGATGACTTCATTAAAGTGATAAGCAACTCCTAAATCCTGCACCAATCATTACCCTAACAGGGAATCCTGCGTGATTCTCCCTGCGTGATCAAAGGAAAGGAGCAGCCAAAGAAGAATCACCCTAGGATCATTACAGTAAGTGTGATCCAAACAGTCTTCAGATTTATGTAAAAATGCTAAAGCATAAATTTACGACAGTGATTCTGTAAAGGGTGGGTCAGAATGCCCTGAGGAATCTGCAAACCCAATGAGCAACCAAGTTAAAATCAAGCTTTCCAATACAAATTTCATGAAAACACATTTTTTAACCTTAACTGATATGGTTCTTATGCAATTTTGTTTGACTTTAGGTCACAGCAAAGAATGTTGCATGTGAATGGATCATGCGGGCAGACGTTTTTAATCAGTCTGCGTCACTAGTTCAGCTCCACTCGCCAAGGCAGAGTCTCTCAAGAATTACCATGGATGGCAGTGCTCCTACCAGTGGACAGCTGACATTAGCATGTGTGTAAATTCATGGATATGTCATGGATTCTGTGACCGTTGCAGCATCGAACCATGTCTTGTATGGAGTTATTAGACTGGTGCGACTGTTATGCAATTACATTTATATCCTAAGATTTTTTTTTAATGACACAATCTGTAAATAACTACTTTGTGGCTTTTATAACCACACAGTTCCAACTGAGGGCCTATAAAAATCCTGATATGAAAAACATGCACTAATGCTCTAATTTTTATTTTTGCCGTTTTGTGTTAAACTGATAATTTCTCTCACCAGCACTGGCTTGGTATCCTCTCTGCCGCTGTTGCTTCTCAGATTTGTGGATTTCATAGGGTGCCTTGCCATGGTCTTCTGTATGCAGCGCTTGTCCTGTGGACTGCAGCGGATATTGCTGTTGTTGGGGTGTTCAGGGATGATCTCCTCCTGTCTGTCTGCTACTAAAAACATGAACATGGAGACATAAAGAGGATTAAGTTTCAATGGTAAAGCATTCATTCCATTCTAGCAGTCTTCATCATCACCTTTTGCAAAAGTGGTCATACCCAATGACATTTTATTATGGTGAGTTACAAATGGATTTTTATGTGTTGCTGCTTGTTATGTGCTCCCCGAGCCTTTGGGGATTAATGTCTACTAACTTTGCCCTCCTTGGGAGCAATAACATTCAGTTTTGGTTGAATCTGGTGGTCTTTAACATATTGCAAATAGATAGTAGATAGGACTCACTTTCTTGTCAATGCTCTTCCAGAGGGCTCAGATGCCTGCAGTCTACTACTACTAATTCTCCTCTTAATAGATTTTCCTACCTGCGCTGCGGATCTCTGCAGCTTGTCCAGAGTTACCAGAAGTGTCCTTGCTTCTATTTCAGTTTTCATATAATGGCTTGAACAGTGATCAGTGTGACAGGAAAACTTGGCACAATATTTAATAAACTCTGCCTAGAGATTCTTCACAACTTCATTCATGGACTGCTTTAGTTCTTCGTGATTCTCCGGTGCAAGGATTTTCAAAGCTGCTTCTCAATGCACGTTTTCCTGCATGCTTTTGTTGCTTGATTCAGATAATCGCTTTTTAGCAAAGCCTGTTAATCAGCAAACAATTGAAATCAGCTGTGCTGAAGCTGAGTAACATTAAAAATATGCAGGAGAGTGTGCCTTAAGGATCCTGATTGAAAAACGCTGGTCTAATGTTTCCTAACAAGCCTCAGAGGTGTTCATAGAACAGCTGTAGCCCTGCAAAGATAAATTACGCACAGTTGGACTCCATGAGCTAATTAGGTAACTTTTAAAGGCAGATAACGAGGGGTTTCAGATGGGGTGATAAAAAAATGTATGTCAATTTTCTAGAGGTAAAAACAATTAGAAAACCATTTGTTTTTATCTTTTGCTTCACTTCTACACAGACATGGGCAATGTGGAGTCAACAAGTCATCTCCATGACATGTGTTTAATCTACCCAGCCAATTAACCAGGTGAGTCCAATCTGCACAGGTTAATTCACGGTGAAGATTGGACTCACCTGCTTCAGTGGCTGGGTAGAACAAATACATGACATGGAGATGACTTGTTGACTCCACATTGCCCATGTCTGCTTCTACACACTTACAGAATGACAGCAAATTTAAATACAATGAATATCCTATCCCTAAATGGCAGGAAGTGATTGGAAAATGAAATGTGAAAATGTCCAAAGGTTGTTAAAACCTCTTTAAGGCATGCTATATCTCGTCTGGCTGAATGTGGAGAAATCCAGGCCAGTTAACCTCAAGGACAGAGCTTTGTGATTGGGCTCTCTTCCTCAGCTCTGACCTTGGTACCTTGCAGCTACTGTGTTACAACCAAGCCTTGAGGTTTTAAATGATGCTGTTCTTTCAGCCTCCCTGCATTATGGTCCGCACCACTTTCACCTTTGTATGCCTATAATTCTGCAGCTTTCTGGGCCTCCAGGCTCCCAGCTGCTTCCTGAGGAAATGCCCCCCCTCGCATTTCGTCCTCGAGAACCCCTCAGCAACATCCCTTTGTTCCACGTGGAGGTTGTTATAGGGCATTTTCTCTGTCATTAGAGGGCACTGGTCAGTGAATGTGGGTGCAGGAATGCTGAAATAACTTTGGAAAGTTGTAATCTTTTGTGTTCAGGCATTTTCAAAATACGGTATGTAAAATAATGTACGTACCCCTGACTTTCTTTACATGCTGGCACCTGTATAAAGCTAATTTGAGGGTTTTACAACACTTTTTTGCTGAACCTTAAACCAGATTAGAGCTCCGGATAAAGCCACGACCAGAAATCTTGTTTTTTGGAGTTATCTGAAAGAAAGTTAAGGTTTTCTTAAGGTTGCACTGCACACAAACTCAGATCCAATATGTTCTATGCATTCATACGTTTACAACAGGAGTGAAAACAATAACTAGGTTCCTCAGAGCTGTGCAGACAGTTTAACGGTTTGTCCTTAACGGAAAGTGTGTCTCAGCTGTTTGTATTTTTAGTCTTGTTGGTGTTAAGCACTTTCTTCAACGAGAAGGAACAACATATCAGCTACTTTCCTCACTTTGTCCTTTGCTCATCTTTCAGCTAGAGTTTCTCTGATTCCACAAGTCCACGTTCCTTCAGAGGGCGAGTCGAAGTGATTTAAGATCGTGTTGGGGGGGTGGCATGTCCTGTCTTCTAACCTGTTTTTAAATGGGGGAAGTCAGTACCTCTGTTTGAGGTTTCATTTGGATCGCCACCCTTTCACTTGTTTGATATAATTTCTATGTTATATGGTCTAAGCTGACCGAACACAAGTAGTGACAGGTGAGAATACATGTGATGAATGAAGAATTGTCCAGTGCCTCGTAAAATACTTCATAAATCTTAAAATGTATGACATTATTTTACTTATTTTTCTAATTAAACTCAAAAAGCCTTGGTTGATTTTTGTGTCATTTATGAGAAAGGCCTAAAAACATTGGTCCATGGGATTAAAGGGAAAGTGAAATAATATATAGTTTAAAGGAAGATTAACAAATAAGACCTGAAAACTTTCATGGTTTTAACCCTGCTCAGTATTTTACTTTGTGGAATCACAATCTGTGATTTAATGTTCCCTGCAGGTCTTACAGGTACAGTTTCTTCCAGAGAATAACATTTTGTATTTTTCTTGTATAAACATGCAAGGTCAGGCAGATTGAATAGAGATTGTCATTTAACACTAACTTTCAAGGCTCCTCTCTGGTCTCAGATCCTTGCAGCCTAATAGGCTTTCTCCCAGGATTACCCTGTTTTTAGCTCCATCCATCTCCCCATCAACTCTGAATAAACTTAATTTCCCCTGCTGAAGAAAAGCCTCCCCAAAGCCTGATGTTTGTTGAGGTTTATGTGCAGTGTTTGTTTTTCTATCACCCTGAAATTGTATTTAAATACATTTAAATCTATTTATAGCTGAGCAGAGTTTCTTTATCCACATTTTTTCTCCCGATTTCATTTCTATTTGTTAAACTGTAAATGGGAAATCCTACAGGTATCTTTTACCAGTAGTTTTCATCTCTTAACTCTACATAAGAATCGTGTTTATATTTTGCTAATAATCTGTTGACAGGACTAATAGTGCTGTCAGCTACTCCAGAGTGACAATGGGTTTCTTTGTGGCTTCTGTGGTTAAGCGTCTCCTTGAACACCCTGTTAATTTAGTTGGATCCTTGTTTAATGCCCATGCAATTAGTTGCATTGGATTTTATTCAGGGGTATCACAGTAGAATTAACTTTCTACATGTCCTTGTTGAACTTTTTTAGATTTTTTTAACCTAATGTATGTTTAACTTTCCTGCCACTTAACAATTATTCACAACCTTCTGTTGGTCTCAAACATCTACATTTTGCAATGTGACATGATGTGAAAGGTCAAATTTTTTTTTTTCATGCTACAGTATTAATTTTATGTTTATTTTCTTCCTATTTTCGGCTGATTTATTTAAGCAATATTTAATTTAAAATATTCAATTACATAAAACATATAATGTCAACTAATCGTCAGTATCCATTGTTCATGTTGTTCATGTTGTTTCTTCCAGCTAAGTGCTTTGGAGTGGGGTATAGATATCTATTGATTTATTTTCTTTTGGAACTTGGTGCTTGTTTTGTGAGCTAAAAATCTTAACATCTGAACTTCCCACCTGTAATCAGCCTTTGCCACACTCCATTGCCATCCACCTGTGTCTTGTTGACTTCCTTCCTCTGTCTATCTATTTGTGTCTCCTCATTTGCAACTTCTCCTTGGCAGGTTGTCTATGACCATTGAATTTACACTTCCCACTTCTAACTTTACACCAAATGTTGCTACATTTTTTTTCACTTTCCATTTCATGCCATACACCATTTTGTATACACGTGCCTACAATTATTGATAACTATTGCATATCAGTAATTTCTCTTGGTGTTTTGTTTTGGTTGAGTAAATTAATTTATGAAAATCATGAAATCTACCCTGAGTGTTAATTATTTTTCAATAATTTTAGTAGGAATACCTTAAAACACTCACTTAGCATTCATTGTGGCTCTGATCTCTGTTTTGATCATGGGACAGTTGGGAAATAGGTTAAAAAATATGAGCTCTTATGCAGCTAAAATAAAGAGGGAAGCTATTGCTGAAAATATATTAGATTCATACATTTCCTTCTAAACAGATTGTAGCGGCATGATAGATCACATTGTAGTTGCTATTAAAATGTTTAATATTCTTCAGTATTTTCTTTTTGCCCCTGATATTTTTGTTTGAGACTATGCAAATCTTCATAAACATATACACTGAGAACCCTGAACCTGTAGCTTAGATTGTCACTTTTGTGTTAGTTTTACTGTCACTTTGATGAGAACCAGTCAGGAGATCATCTATGATTGTACATTTGCCACCCGGTCAAATAAACAGTAAAAATAAAGCTGAAATGTGGAAGTGTTGATTCAGCCATGCGGATCCTAGGTCAAACATAATCAACCACTGCTGCGTTTACCTTGTGTATGTTTACTGTTTGCTGCAATGATGATGCACACACCTGCTAAAATCAGCAGATCAGGTCTGTTCGCGTTATTGTATTTAGGCTATTTTTAACTTTTAGTTTGTGAAAATAGAAATTTATAAACGAAGAAATATAATAATTTTATTTTCAGACTTATTGAGGAAGTCTGACTCTATATAGGAGACTTTATTGCCTATCACCCACAACTTTAATTTCGCAAGATTCTGGCAGGAAGTTGAAAAGTCGTTCAGGCTTGAAATTAATAGGTTTTTCTTTACTGTCTGTGCTGAATTCTGCAGGATTACCAGCATCAAACCTGCAGCGTCAGGGCAATAGACCTCTTTAAAATCAGTTAATAATCAGCTGATGTCTGATTCAGTTGGGCAAACTCTGATTTAAACTAACTGCACGGCTCATTAGAAACGTATGTGCCCGTCCTCTTT